CATGGAGGAGCTGGAGCAGAAGATGGAGGAGAGCAAGAGGGAGATGCAGGTCGCAGACGCCCTCGATGAGATTATGCAGCGAAATGCACGGATAGAGCGCGGCGAAAAGGGTGGCAAAGAGGACGAGGCTCTAAATCAAGTGAGAGATCTTCAGAGAGAGGAGAGAGAGCGACAAGAACGGGAGGATGCCGAAGCTGCCCGCAAGGCTTTTGAAGCTGCCAACGTCGAAAGGACGAGGCTCGAGGAACAACAAAAGGCAAATGGCCCAAGTAATCACGTTGCACGTGACGAATCAGACGAACCACATCGACCTACGCAGCCGCCTCCGTCATTCGAGAGGGTTAAAAAGATCAAGAAACCTCTGGTGCCCGGACTGGTGCGCAAGGCCGAGCCTATGACAGCATCAAAACAACCCCCTGCACCAGTTCCTGTACAACCACCTACTCTCGGCTTGGGTGGTTATGACTCTGACGAAGACTGAGATCGCCGGGATCGGGCTTCCTGCAGAGCTTGGAGGTCAATCTCGTATATTCTCCTGGTCCCCAAGTCTCCCCACACGCAGCTGCCAGGGAAGACTTTGGCGAAATCTACCCCATCAAAGCTACCATTACGACATATGGTCTGCACTTGCCACGTCACATTCTCTGATTCTCGACACTGACTGGTGTGTCTACCTACGCTGCAGTATAGCCTTATCGGTCTGCAAATCTTTATTGGCCATGACCCCAATCCTGTGCAACCCGGAGAGATGGAGGCATTTGACAACCTGTTTGAGCCAAGCTGGAGAAGATGGACAGATTGCATAGCTGGGAGGAAATGGCGACTGGTACAATTGCGTTTCTACTGCCAGCCCGGTATCCTGAAGAGAGACCATGGCCATAGCAGAGAAGGATGTCTGGTTGAGTAGGCATGTCTATCACTCCTGAGTGCGAGGAAACTAAAATTGTCAGTCACCGGTTGCTCTTCTGGATTGGGCAAAGCTCTTGCGGAGTACACCTACAAAGCAGGTTCTCTCGTTGTCGCCACTGCTCGGAAGCCCGAAACCCTCTCATACCTTCCCGACACTCCGAATGTCCTCAAGTTATGCCTCGATGTTACTTCCAAAGAGCAGGTGGCGCAGGTTGTCCAGGCCACCGTTGACAGATTTGGCTGTCTAGATGTTGTGGTCAACAATGCAGGATATGGCGTGACTGGTGACACTGAAGTTCTCCCCGACGCCGATGCACGGGCACAATTCGAGACCAACTTCTGGGGTGCCGTCAATGTGACCAAAGCGGCTCTTCCCATCCTACGAGAAGTCAATCCGCCTGGAAAGGGTGGCCTGTTTATACAGATCTCATCTGTGGGCGGCAGGGTTTGTTACGCCGGTTCGGCGTACTACCATGCCAGCAAATTCGCTTTGGAGGGGTTCACAGATGCACTTGCAAAAGAAATGCACCCGAATTGGAACATCAAATTCACTATGATCGAGTTGGGGGCTGTGGCAACCAACTTTCCACAGAATATGGTCTTGCCTCCACGGCATCCAGCTTATGAAGACCCAGCTTGTGGATATAATGCCGTCAGAGCCTACCTCACCAGTGCATCAAACGCTGTGCAATGGAACGATGCTGCAGTCTGTGCTCGAGTCTTGCACGACCTTGCATGCAAAAGGAATGACATTACCCCACCGGTGAGACTCGCCCTGGGTGCCGATTCATGGGCCGTCGTCAAAGCTGAGCTGGAAGGTATTATGAAGGAGCACGAAACATGGAAGGCCGTGGCAGAGAGTACTTCTCACGCCGAGAACCAGCGAGCAACGGAGTTTCTGCTCAAGTCGGTGCGCTAGTGTGACTGATTAGAGGCTGGGTCATTCTTGGTGTCGGGATGTTGAGGTCGCATACACGAGGACATGATCGCCCGAAGACATGTCAAGTTACCTTTCGTCCCCAAGCCTTACTTTGCGTATTACAAACCCTCGTTGGAACAATGTCCTTGCTGTAAAGTCTGTCGATGACGGCTCAGATATGGTGGTCTGATGTCCCACCTCGATGGACTATTTGCGTCGTGTAGGCGCCGGGAGTTGCGCAATGGACGCACCAGCGACTTCCTGGTACCCTGACAACGTACTGGATCTATCTCGTTGAATTCGTACCGCCCAAATCATGAGCTTCTATTCTTGACCTGATGGCGCTTTTTAGCTTCAAAGATAACAACACAAGCGCGCACTCTTGATTGGTCTGTTATTTCCACGTTGGAGCAACACATGAGAAAAGAGCCAATGTCCACCTAAGCGCCCATATAGGCTGATCGCCTTGAAGAACCCGGAGATTCGGCCGTTACCGAAAAGATGCAGATCTGATCGCTTGTCGCTAGGGACTCTCCAAAGAACCAATCATGGCAGCAGGCAGATATTGAATATGCCATGAATAGCACCACTGGCTGTTTTACCAACTCACCCCTGCATGTGGAGTGGAAGCATTCAAATACACAGGTCGAAGGCAAAGGTATATAGAGAGAATCTCTATCATTCGTGCTCCCTCAAAAGCAACACGAAACAGGTGGTCTATGGTCGAAACTACCCAGCGGATCACACTTTTATACCGGTCGAGACAATCATAATGACCAGTCAGGCAAGCACTCCGTCCTCTATCAGCAGTCAGTACTTGCCGATCAAAGACATCCAAAGCTCTGAACATACGCACTCCTTTGCCTCCTTGTACTATCGGCAACACACCTTGGTGCCTAACAACATAAATGTCGAAGAGAATCAACTTTCCGACGAACGCTGGAGCAGACACGCCTTTAGCATGGGTGTTCCCTTCAACGACATTCACCGACCCCATCCAGACGCCCGGAAATTCGCCCAGAAGATGCAAAGGAAGCCTAGGATAAGCGACAGGCGATTGACAGAGTTGTTGCTCCCGCTCATTCAGACAGCAATGAAGTCGTCAAGGGGACTACACATCGAGACTGATGCGACATTCCACCCGGACGCTATGCCCAAAGGAAGTCCAGCTGGATCCATCTCACCCAGTCAAACACATCACTGGAGCATGCCACTCCCTACCCCAAAGCCTAATATCACCGTTGGTTTCAGCTCCAAGAGCTTCACCGTGCACGAGCTCGAATTGCAGGACGGTATCATCTCGGACTCCCACGGCGAGCCTTGTGATCTAGCCAAAATCTCTCGACCCATCCGTGGGAGGGATACATTGTTCTGGCCGTTTTTCAACGTCGAAATACAACGAGAATCCTTGACGGCCGCTCAGAACGCAGCAGCAGGTTCAGGGTCAACCTGCAACAACGCACTCGCACTTCTCGCAGAAGCCGCAGATGAGCCTTTGCTTCAAAGCCGGGGAAGAAACTTGTTTTGGCAATCACGACGGGCTGTCTGTTCATTTTCTCTCTCGATACACAACAGTTCAGGGGAAGGTAGCAAGATGGCAACCCTGAACCTCCACAGCTCCGAGGGGGGACTTTGCCATACAGCGAGTCCGATCCGAAATTACGATCTTTGCAATGAGCGAGATGTGGAATACCTGCTATCACGGCTAGTCAGCCTGTTTGTGTGGGCGGAGAACTGTCATCTCCAGCAGATCTTCACGCTCCTCGAAGCCCTCGATGCCCTCGTCCGGCTAGAACCAGGAAGAGAGTACCTGTCGGACAGCTTCCCTCACGAGTCGATGGATACAGCTACCAGCACTCAGGGCCACGTGAGCCCTGCAAAGAGCAAGTTCGAGATGGTCAAAAGTGTACTTGCAGAGATCAGTCCGAAATGGATACGGGCGCAGGGGTAGGTCTCAGGAACGAGTGCACGGGGATTGCTTACAAAAGCGAACTGAGCAAAGATTATGATGTGATACTTAATGAATGAATATAATGATACAAGCACGGGGAAGACGCCACCTTTTGTCGTATCTTGACACCACCGTCACAGCTCTCGGATTCCGTCTCTATGTTCTAAGGAGCTAGTGTCCCTAGGGATATTCGCCCTGTGACAAAGTGCTCGGTGTCGCACGATGGCTTCTTGACGTTCTGAGTTTCTCAAGCTCGTGAGCCTTTCGGCTGAGAAGGCGGTGTGATCGTCGAGAGGCTGCAGAGACCTGTACTCGCACACTGGGTCGGGATGTAAATAGCCAGCCGAGGGGGGGTTGAGTACATTGATTGGCTGCCTTAGCGCTGTGGATATGGACTAGACCTGATTAAGATCAAGCGTGAGTATCTCAACCAATAATACCTTCATCACTGCTTCCCCTCATATCCACTCCCTCTACCACGATATCTTTATCACTTGCCTCGAAGCGCCCAAACCACCACCATCAACCAGCTTTACTCCAGGTTCTGTTTCCACGCACAGGGGCCGGACAACAAGCGGACTCCCTCTCCCACGTCTATTCCTCTTCTAATCACCTGAAACACGGACCTTCCCCAGACCCAACGCTAGCTGCAGGTGCTCCTTGTGACAGCCCTTCCACCTGCGGCCCGACGGTCGAGTATCCTCTCTACCAGAGCCGCCCTGGGCCACGGAATCGAGTGCTTAACATCTTTTCGCCCAAGTGACGCGGGCCATAGTCATAAAGCGAAGCCAGCGAGGGCATCTGATCTTCCCTGTTCCGTCTAGGACAACGGACGGTAGGGGCCCTTGGGACGGTACGAATATGTAGGAGTTCCAGCCACCCGTTCAGTCGTGTAGCGCATTGGCACTCCCTGTGCTTTCTTGTATTATAACTCATGTTTCCCTCCTGTGTTGTGAGTCCGGAACTTCAAATCGTGCGCGCATCTTGTGCTCTGGCATTTTCCTCGCGATATTTTCTTTTTCGGTGTTCATCGCGCAAGTGTTCCATGTCCAAGTAATAGTCGTTCTGTTGTTACACTACTCCAATGCATCATACCCCCAATAGCGTCTTGTCATTCCCGTTTTGAACTGAAGGAGCAGTGAGCTGCTGTTAAAAACAAAACTTTCCTTGAGAACCAGAAGCCTCACCTCCGACCGCAGCGGCCCGTTAGTCGAGACGACCATGTCCTCTGCAAGCGGCTCATCAAACTCCTCGCCCTCTTCAGGAGGTCTCCCACCAGCGTCCTATGACGGCAGCCATCTGCCGTGGCGCACTTTCCGACAAGAGGTCCTAGCACCACACCAAATCCATGTGCTCGACACCGTGCCGAAGGACCGCATCCCGGCTGCTTTCCTCAAGATCGTCGAAGCTGCCAGCCAAGATGCAGGCCGGTTCGACAACCAAAAGAACTGCTTCTGGAACCAGGTCACCGCGGGACGAGGATTTGGTCCGTCGCCGATATTCCCTCCAAACCTCCTCCCTCCGTTGACGAGTGAGTTTCATTCGAGATGCATGGTCCCCTTCTTCGGCAGCCGCGAAGCTCTGCCGGAACGAACGATAAATCACCCGGCACCTTTTTACGAACTGTCGGTCCCCCGTCCAGGTCTGGGCTGCGGGTTCTCCGCCGCAGCCTTCACGGATGAAGAGTTGGCCGTCCTGCCTCAGTGGCTCCAGGCGACGGGCACAATAGTCCATTTTGAGACGGGGTACATCGCGCCGGGGGCGTCGCTGTACTGTCCCTTTCTGACCTTTGAACGCGCCTATGGGAACAAGCAGCAGCGCGTGGAGTCGGCAAACAATCAGTGTGCGATTGCAGGCGCATACAGCACGCGTGCATTGCAGATGCTGTACACGCGGGCGCGCAAGGACTCGAGCGAAAATTCACCCATGCATCTCGGTGAACTGCCCGTCTCTTTCTCGTGCACCATCGACAATAGTTTTGCGCTGCTGAATCTGCACTGGATCGATCTGGAACAGGGGCAGGCTTACTGTATGGCCCCGCTCTGCCAGTTCGACCTGAGCAAGGACGTGCACTTTAGCAAGTTCCTGGTCTGGACACAGGCCATCGGCGATTGGGGTCTGTCTCATGTCCTGCCGGCGATCAAAGAGGCGCTCGGACGCCTGCGGCAGCCTGCCAAGGGGACTCCGGTCGCTGTTTGCCAGCCCGATTACAGCGGGGGACCAGGAAGACTGCGGCTGGACACGGGTCCAGGCATCATGAAGGACGAGCTCCTGATTTCGTCCCTGAAAACGACCTTTGAGAACATCCCCTGGCGCTTCGAAGACGAGGGCTTCTCGGGCGTCTCGTCGTCGACCGCGTCCTGGGGCTCGCCCATGGTGTCCGAGAACACCTTCCCCAAGGTCAACTACCCGACCGTGCCGCCGGCGCGGAGCAACATCAGCGCTCCCAACTCGTCGATCGTGGCTCGCAAACGCTTGGGCGTGTCGCGCAGCCCGGTCACGCCGCCGCCGGCATATCTGCAGAACCAAGACCTGGTGTGGCAGAAGCGGTTCAACCTCGCCATGGAAGAGATCAGGCAGCTGCAGACGCAGATGCAGGCGTTGAAGACGGAGATGGAGGAGTGCAAGCGTCCGTCGTCACGGGAGGGTCAACCGAGCTCCACGTCGGAATCTGACCCATTACCACCAACAGCAGCAGAAAATCAAGAGCAAGATCAAGAGCTCGAGTCAACAACGCCCAAAGTGCAAGATCCACCCCTCACCACCTTGACCGCTCACAAGTCTCCACCGTCTACCACGGGCGTATCCGCGGCGACGACCAGCCCGTCGCCGATGTGGCAATGCGCCACGATCGTCCTGTCGAGCCATTTCCTGGCCTCGTTCCTCCCCACCAACATGACCGTGCGGCTGCTCGCTTATGGCTGCGTCACAAACGCTTTTGTGCTGGCGTGTTTGACACCCAGGTCCACCGTGGTTGGGATGGCGACGCTGGCGTCCGCGAAGATACCGGCCTTTCCGGCCTGGAGGTGGCGGGCGACGTCCTAGACTCGGGAGTCTAGAGTCGAACTGGGCGGACACTGTCTCCGCAGCTCGTTGCATGAGTTTGGACTGCAGCTGCAAAGTCTGTCGTTTCTCGATGTCGATGTCGATGTCGATGTATTCCAGCGGAGTTTGTATTGAGAACAGCGTACCAGGCCAGAATTTGCGTCGTTATCCTCTCAAGTCACAAGGATGAATGAATTAATTGGATCTGCTCGGGCTAGTGGCGGCGCGTTGTCTCGTGAGGGAACTGAAACGAAATCGTTATGGTCAATGTCGACGTACCCCTCCGATAGGGATGTTTTATAACCCTGGGGGCCCGCCGGTTGGATCATATATGGATGGGGAGAAACGTGTATCTGTGCCACCGTGGTTATGTGTCTCTCTGGCAAGTCAGGGTAAGACAAGGCAGGGTAGGGCAGGACAGTACAGGGCTAGAAGAACCAAAGGTTTCAGCACGGAAATCGAACTACGGTATGTGTGAATGTGAATACCCGAGGTAATTGGTGATGGGAATGAGATGGACTTGTACTTGTATACCCCAGCTAGCATATCGTATCACACCATTTCATATCATGCCTACTGTGTAGGTAGATAAATAGGTAGGTGGGTATCATAACGGAGAGCAGACGAGACCAGAGCGTCTTCTCTAGTTCATGTGCATACAGGGAAAGGCGAGTATTGTCTGAGGTCCACGTCTAATAAAGAGGACCAGGCCGTTATTCTTCTGGTTCGGATAGGAAGGAGAGGAAGAGGAAGAGGAAGAGATAGAAATAGCCTCTGCGACGACTGACCACTAGCTAGGTCAGTATCCCAATGTCCATCTATGAACAGTGTCAATCAGTTTGAATTGTTCCGATAATTGGAACCCGTCAAAGAGCTATTTCTTCTGGTAAACAGGAAGACTATTAAATAGTCCTGATATTAGCTCCCCCAACCCACTTCATCCATCCCTCTATCCATCCGTCATGGCATGACCTTTCATTCCCTCCTATTCCCTTCCCTCCCCCTCCTCCCACCTACCCTTCTCAACGCCGAACATTCGCAGCAATGCGATTCGTCATCAACGTCGACGAGTTCCCAATAAGCAAGCACGCGACGCACGACAAGACCCCAAACGGCAGCGCCGTGTACCAGACATACTTGAGGCTCTCGGCATATGCCCAGCGCGCACCGACCGTAGCGCCCTGGATGACTGCTGCACTGAGACCAAGGACCTCCGAGGGCGCTGCAGGGGAAGACAGATTCTGCGGCGCCGTTAGGAAAAGCTCGACGAACGTGGGCACCGAGGCGAGAGGCAGCCCAGCCCCGACGGCGTATGTGGCCACGTATTTCGGCAGGTTGCGCTTGAGTTTCGTGCCAAAGATGTTGGAGTAGATCGCGGTGCCGACGGAGCCGCCCACGGTGCGGATGGATAGGGATAGAGCCACGCATGTCGCGATCAGGTCGTCCGGGGAACCCACCACGGCGGTGGTGACGGCCATTGCGACGACGCCACCGATCCCGAAGCCAGCGACGGTTGCCAGCGCGACAGTCTGGACTGGATTCTCCGGCGTAGTGGTCACGAGCGCTGACCCGAACGCCGTCGTGAGAGCGGCGCACGCAAAGAGGATCCATCTGTTGTGGTTTTTCCACACCGACAGCAGCATGTTTGGCACCACGGCTCCTGCGGTCACTCCTAGGGAGGCGATGACACCCTTGAGACCGGACTGGATGGGATCAGGTCTGTAGACGTCCAAGTAGACAACGGGGAAGAAGTTGAGGAGCCCGTAAAAGTACATGCCAGCCACGAACGAGACCAGGAAACTCATGGCGACGATGCGGTGGCCGGCAAACAACTCACGAGGCACCATCGGGAAGCTCGCGCCCTTCCACTCCCAGGCTCCAAAACCGATGATCATGACAATGCCAATCACCAAGGGACCGAGCACTTTCGCGCTCTCCCATGGAGCCGTGTACCCGCCCGCGGTGGTCCCTACCAGGCTGTTGTTCTGTTAGTATCTAGCTTGGGAGGGAATATGTGCTGAGGGAACCATACAATAACGTGAGACCGCCTACCGATAGCAGGGCTCCGATAAAGTCTATCTTGGGAAGGATCTCGCGGACCGTCTTCCGCTGTCCACGGATCTGAGACTGTGGGAAGTAGAAGATGGCGATTCCAACAGTGGCTATTGCGTTCCAGATTCTGTGTTTGGGAGAATATCAGTTTCGAAATTTCGCTCAGACTCCCAATGTGACGAAACGACAAATCCGAGGAAAGAATGTGCCAGGGAGAGGAAAACTTACAAGGCTATCCAGATCCCCCACCGCCACGTCGAATGCATACCGAGCTCGGTGGTGTAGATCGCATAAGGCGAGAAGGGCAGAATGCACCCGGTGACCAGGCCCAGGTACCAGCCCCTTTTTCTCACGGGGACGAGTTCAGACGTGCCCGCCAACGCCGTCAGCTCCCCAATGGCGGCGCCCACTCCGGAAATGGTGCAGCCCACGATCCCCTGGGCCATGGTCCGCGCGGTGCCGACGATGATCAGGCCGACACACAGCACGAGGCCGCCGGTGAGGGAGATGTAGCGACGTCCGAAGACGTCTTGTAGGTAGCCGCTGAAGGGTGCCAGCGAGGCAAATGCCAGCGCGTAGGACTGGGGTAACCATGAATCAATATCGGCGCCGCCGACCTGTTTGACTATGAACGACAGACTTGCTGAGACAAAGTATAGCGGGAGTTGCGAGCCTATCTCATGAACATGGTGTTAGTCTAGAATAGGATCTCTCTTTCGGGGCTCCATAAGAAGGGGTGTTGTCAGTGGGGAGATGTCCAGACCACAATACAAAAAGGCAAGAGAGAGCGTTGCCAGGATCTGGCGAGTCGTCCATTGGACATGGCTGGTGTCGGACCCGTCACCGTGACCGTCCTCTCTTGTCTCGATCTCAATATGGGCCGATTCGAGCTTCGTGATGTCGCGGTCGGTCTGAGTGGAGGTTTCTTCAACACCCTTCTCAGCACGGTCTTCGTCGCGGGAGTCCATACGGTACACTTCCCTCTGCCCCTGTCTGCTCAGAATTGTCAATAATGTGTGGATTCGTTACTCCTGACTTGTCCCAGGTAGTAGGCCGGCGGGGAATCATGTGCTGTCAGTGACGGCGAAAGCAAACCCATACCCCGGATTTGGCATCCCCCATATATATAGTGCCTCGTGGCATCCTTCTTTTGTTCGCGGAGTCTCCGCATCTGCCTCGGTGCTGTCACAATACCGGGTATACAGGACGAAAGATCATCTCTTGGTGAGAGCCTAGTATTGGGCTGGCCATGTGCAAGAATTCATTAGCAGCGTGCCAATAATGGTCCATGCCTGTCAGGGAACGCGTAACCCCATCTTTGCCATACCTAAGTTTCCCTCAGGAGTGATGATGATAACCTGATAACCTTCCGAGCCCCAATCCGGTAAAGTCCGCATTCGGCTATACAAGACGAACCTTTCGTAGTAGTTCCACACCATTACCCCAGACCCACTCCGCCTCGGACTGTGCCAGGGAAGTCGGCAAACGGTTATACAAGACACAAGAAAGCCGACATCTAGGTCAATGGGTTGCTCCAAGGAGATAAAGTGGGACATATGGCTGTCATTACCTTTCGATCGCTGAGAAAGACCATCTGTACTAGGAGGTTCGACGAGCCACGCCACGACAAGGTTCGACAATCAATCTCGCCACACTCATTAAGGACCAAAACATGAATCAGGTTAAGCTAGATAACCCGGTGGCTGAGTAGTAGTGAGTTGAATAGCGATCGTCAAAATGGACCTCGGCGCACTTTCCTCTTGGAATGGCTTCTGGCTGAATTCAACGTCTCGTTTGGTCGGCGCAGGCCATATTACACAAGTCACACAAGTATCTCCTCCACGGTTGCGGCGCTTGAACGTCTCTCCTCTTCATGAATCAAGCGACTTTTGCTCTGAATCCACGGGGCATGTGGGGTCCCCCCCCCAAACCGGGCATTCGTTGGTGTATGCTAAAATCACCCTCGACCCAGGTCTCGAGTCGCCCAAAAGAACTGTCAACGTCTCCCAGTCCTGTGACCAGATCATCCTTCAATGTTGGGATTCCTGGAGGGCAAAGCCACACCATCTTGGGGAATTGATTCGCCCAGTATAAACCTCGAATATGTCAACCGCAAACTCGAAGCTTTTGCTCGCGACCCTTCTCAGTGCCGTCGAATACTTGTGATCAAATCCCCTCGAGCTCCTAACACGCCTCCTTACCCTGATCCAATGGTTCCCTCTACTTTCTACCGAACTTGGGCGGGAACACAAAGCTCGAGAAATGCAGTCCCTCGAACCGAAGATCGGTCATCGTTTGAGTATCGACGACCTCGATTATTGGCGTACAGAGGCCCAATGCTACATGTCTTTGCTAGGGGATCTTGCAGATCTCGAGCGTCAAAATATTGATGAATGGACGTTTTGGAAGGAAGCATGCTGCACCGACGAGCGCACTGCGGATCGGTGGTTCGTCGAGAACATACAATATTGGAAGACGGAAGTCCTGCACCTAGCAAAGGTGTTCAAGACCAACCCTCAAGCCCCAAACATACGGTATCATATCTACGATGCGAACTACTGGAACTCCGAGACATTCCATTACGATGACCTGCTCCAAAGGCGACACAACCCGACCTTCGAAGACCAGGTAGCGAAATCTACTCTCCAACAGAACCCAAATCGTAAGAAAAGAAAACACGAGGACGATGGAGTGAGGCGTCCTGTAAATTCGTGGCTAGCGAAGTGGGATGCCGTACTCGGGAAGCCATCCGGGGACGGTGTATCCTCTGAAGTGTCTGCAGCATACCTCAAAAAGCGACGAATGGCGAACGCTGGATAACAGCCAGGGTCAGCTTGCCCCTTCCAATGGAGTGCTTGCGCCTGGCGCCTTGTGGTCCCATTTTCCCGATATCCATATGTGTTATCGACTTCCATTCCACCCAAAAGGCCCGCGTGCCTGGCTAGTCGTGAAAGCACTTTCGTTGTGCTTACCAGCAAAATAGTCGAAGCATACAATGCTTTGACATTAGAGCATAATAACAGGCTTGTTTCCCCTCCAACTATCATTCTGCACATGAGAGACGGTGTGGAGGATCCACACCGCACGCCCGAACTGACGCCACTGCGAAAGGCATGTCTTACCATTACTCTAGACGACCTGCCGTACGATTCCTGCGAAGGCTGGGCTTGTGAGAACGACCCGGAGTCTTCTTTTGTGCTACGGAATGAACGACTATCTGGCGGAGGTATAAGTGGAAAGCATAGCAGGTTGGACTGCAACTCGAAGAATGGGTCTCTACTGATGAACGGCATCTCAACCTGAGGAACAGTTGGGCTATCCAAAGTTTTGGGTCGGCAGGCGACGGAGGCCAGGATCCAGAATCGGGAGAGGTAGGTATCCTGACAGGTACGTACCTAAAACCCCGTACTAAACGAGTACCGAGTAGAATACTCTATCCGAGACTAATACAGTATCCCTTTACGCTAACACCACGTGATATCAAAGTGGGATGTTAAATATCGGGGGTTCGTTCCTGTAATGCCCTCTCAAGCAGCAATAGGACTTGCAAACACCAAGAAGAGGCGAAAGAACAGGGTCCTTTCTTTTGGCAAGCGTTGCCCAGCCCAACATCTGACCATATTCTTTTTTAGCCTTACCCCCGGTTGGACAAGGTTGCTGCAGATTCAACGCATTTTAGCACCGTGTAACATAGTACAAAGCCTACCCCCTCTTCGTGATCATGCAGACTTCGACCGCCGGCTAGTTACGGTTCGACAGACACTTTGGGGGGCGTTTTTCCCTTCTTTTTTAGCAACACTATATGAGAGCAGGGATTGCACTTTTGCGAGATTTTAGCCTGGGACCTGTAAACCCCCCCCCCCCCCCCACATCTCACCAACATAGCACAAAAGAGTCTAACCAGGGACCCAGAGCGGGTTTTACGACAGGCCAGAGAATAATGTGTGCGAGTGGTCGAGGGTTTTCGCCACGGGAGTAAACAGGACGTGGGTTCTTGCAGGGGAATCAAGGTGGAAATGACAAAAACATTCTTTACTTGCAACACAACAACTTCGATTTGGCGGGTTTTTTTAAGGAGGAGGTATTATATCGATTATATCAGGCAGCAAAGGAAACCGTCCACGATTCGAGAGTTGCCCAAGGTATTGCTCAATTTCCATCCATCCACCCATCCATTCCTTCGGCAGGAATCGTTCAAATGACTCGCCGTCGAAAGCTTCACCCTGAACTAAAACGCACGCGACACTCCTCGTTGTATGCTTTGAGTTGTTCCATTTTTAATTTTACAAACGGGTCCATCTCTGAACGCATTTCATTCTCTGAAGATTCGAGTTTGTCGTCGTCGTCGTCGTCGTCGTCGTCGTCGTCGTGCCGTCGCAAAGCTGTCCAGTAGACGACGTCCAAGTCGAAACTCCTTCTTATGGCATAGTCGAACCAGAAACGGCCCGTGTCCCAGGATTCACGCATTCGCGTGGCAAGACTGGGTCGCGCTGGCTGTGCTGCTCCGAACTCTTCTCGTTCAACTTGGTCCAGGGCTTGCAGAAACTGCCTCATTCGGGGCTCATACAGAGCGAGAAATTCTTTCGCAGAGCAGCGATCAAACCACATCTCGGGCCCGGACAGCAGCAGCCACCAGGGCGGATCGTATGTAAACTGCGCGGGCATCGCGTTTGTAAACTCGAAATCGATGATGGCGGTGATTCGACATGTCTCCGGGTCGACCAGCAGGTTAGACGGTCGCATGTCGTCACAGAAGGGGATGAACGGGCCTGCTTCGTCGACACAATATTTGGGAATGAGGTGGAGCAGTCGACGACGGGCTACGTATCGTCCTCGAGCGATTTCCGGGTTGTCGGCGATGTTACGCTGGATCCACAGATGTGTCATATGCTCTTTGGCAACGGACGTCAGGTAGTCGCTTGTGCGGTCGAATGGCTCGGTGGGAAACTGGTCGCCAGGGTAGCCTGCTACCGTGGCCAGTTCGTTCATGTCGTATGTAAGCGGTCTCGCCACCACATGCCAAGTATTGGAGGTGTGGTCTTCCTTCGAGATGGCACCGATCTTGGAGAATCTCAGCTCCGAAAGCTGGAGGAGGAACCCGGCAATCTGACGATAGACCTTGTCCAACAGGGCGTTGTCGACATTGGGGTCGAGAACCAAATCTGGGGTATCGGGCTGCTTCAGCATGGTCGATAAAAGTGTTCCATCTATTAAATCCATGATGATAAACGGCCCGAGTTGTCGCGGGCTCTCCTTGGTCAGTCCCCAGCGGTGTACACAGGGGACAGGAATGGTAGTGTTCTGCCGCAGGTATTCCATGACGCGAAACTCGTTGGTTACTTTCTCCTCCCGAAAGGCCGTGTGGCCGGGTTTGGGGAACCGAATGATCACGTCTTGGCCGTCGCGGAAGCTGACACGGAAGCTGAAATTGAAGGAACCTTTGAGGAATCCGACGTAGGCGCCATTGCCTCCTCGTTTCAGGCAACGCCCGGCAAAGTCGACCAAGTCCTGTTTGGAGTCCAGAATCCTTCTCAACCATGCCCGACACTTGTCGTCGCCATCGGTCTCTGCTATCTCGTCGAAGTAAGTTTTGAAGGGGGATATCTTCGTTCCAATCATACTAGTGGAGAGAGTATAGTTGTGGATACACTTGGGTGTAGATGGACTGTAGATGGACTGTAGGTGGTCAAATACAAAAACAGCGAAGACATAATGTTAGGAGGCAAGGGAGGGAAGTCAAGGGAGAAAAGGGGGTTCACGTGATCGAAAGGTCGGTGAGATCGGGACCGATGGGCATGGAGCCTCGTACCCTTTGTCCTCAGCTACAACAAGTATAAATTACTCTTTGTTCTCCTTGCTGCAGCACGTCATAACTTGTACCCTAGAAACCAAAATGCTCAATGGGACTCCATGTCCCCGAATGATAGGGAGCTGATCGTAAAGTCTACACTATTTGGATCTCCATCTCTGTATGGTGTGTGTGCTTCGCGACCGACCTCGTCTTTTCTCTCCACCCGTCGTTAGATGTGAGGAGATTACTTCGACTTGCCTCTTCTAACCTCGTCAGATTCCAAGCACATAGGTCTGAAGTGATTGGGTGGACACATCGAATTTCAAGTCCTTGTTCACGATGCCCCAACCGCACCTAGTGCACCCACTGTCCAACCCATTCTGGACTACTGCCGACAGGGTCGCCATAGGACGTATTATGCATTAGCCCTCTCCTCGTCGGAAGTTGGGACATGGAGGATGAAGGACGTGAAGGTGGAAACTGAGTTTGTGGGGGAATTCGCGGGGCACGGAGTCCTGGCGAAGCCCAGGCTGTGGTTCGGCCTCGTTGTATAGCCGGTTGCCGATTCTTGCTCGGCTCGCAGAAGAGAAGAGAGACCGGGGTTTAGTATCATGAGAAGGACGATTCATTGTAAGTTGTGGTCAATTTCCACCTACACTAGCTAGTCCAGATGACCAATCATGGGGCGGGTGTATAGCCAGTATTGCCTTGGCTGTCGCCGATGTAATCGTTCACCTGCATGGCCTTTCCCAGGTATTATAATGCAAGGATGCTGTCGCGACTTTTGGACTCAAGAGTGTTCGAGAGAACAGACGGCAAGTTGTCAATCCAAAGACCCTTACGTCGAGGGTCTAATCCTCAAATATGAAGTTCCCGGCCACCAACCTTACTCATGCTGCTTGCGTATCCCAATCCTTTCGTCATCCTGACCTGTTTGGTGCTAAGACGCTCTCGTTGACTGCTCAACCCGTCACCAACTTTTCCATCGAGATCGCACAGGGCGGATACCCAAGCCACGACGCGCGAAACGTGACGAATCTTGGCTTTTGCAATGTCAGCCTCATCTATACGCACCCCGGACAGCGTGACAGCATCAACGTCCAGGTCTGGCTGCCTTTGGAAGGCTGGAACCAGCGGCTTCAGGGAGCAGCGGGCGGAGGATTCCTCGCAGGGCTCAACGTCCCTTCCATGGCAGGGGCATTGAGTGATGGATTCGCGGTCGTTTCCACTGATGCAGGCCACAAAGTCGAAGATGCGAGTACATGGGCTCTCTTGAGTCCTGGAAACGTCGACCTCTACGCGTTGCAGAACTGGGCCTCGGTGTCCTTGAACGATGCCGCTGTGATCGGGAAGTCCATCACCAAGGATTTCTATGGCCAGAAACCAATTCGGTCCTACTGGAATGGTTGCTCCGGTGGTGGCAGACAGGGATTGGTCCTTGCCCAGCGCTATCCCGACGCATTTGACGGCATCTTGGCTGCAGCGCCGGGGATCAACTGGAACACCGCCTTGGTAGGAGGGCTATACTTTCCGTTGGTGATTCAGCTAAGTGGCCAAGGCCACATACCGAATCCGTGTGAGATATATGCCTTGTCATTAGCAGCGGTTGCAGCCTGTGATGCGGACGACGGTGTCATTGACAACATCATCTCAGACCCGGCACAGTGCAAGTTTGACCCGTCCACGTTGGTTGGCCAAAACGTCACCTGTCCCGGCATCAACGCCACGATCTCCCAAGCAGCCGCACTAGGTGCAGCAAAGACTTGGGACGCCGTGCGGACAGCAAATGGGTCGTTTCTTATGCCGGGATTGAACCCTGGTGCGCTATTGAACGTCGCGTTGAACAGTACTTGCGATGCTCGGACGGGAAAGTGTCAGATGGTTCCTTTCTCGTACTCGGAGGAGTTTGTCAGGTATTGGTTGATCAAACGGCCCGAGTTTGACTGGACCACCTTGACTTGGGATGATTTTTACCGCCTTTGGGATTATTCTGTCGACACATATACCGACATGACAGCGAGCAATGACCCTGATCTCAACGACTTTCGGGCATCTGGTGGCAAGCTGATAACGTGGCATGGGCTCGCCGATCCTGCAGTGCCGACAAACACTTCAAGGATCTATTATAGCAAAGTAGGTCAGCTTGATCCGAGCGTCAGTCAGTACTATCGATACTTTGAGGCTCCGGGGGTTTCGCATTGTGGAGGTGGGAATGGACCATACCCAGGTCATGTCTTTGAAAGTCTCATTGCCTGGGTAGAGGAAGGAAAGGCTCCAGATATGCTCCAGGGGATCAGTCTGCCAACCGCAAACGGAACTGTCTATCACAGGCCGATCTGTGCATATCCCCAAAAGGCGACGTACAAAGGCAGCGGGGATGTTACACTGGCTGCCAGCTGGAAATGCGTGTGATGGCTGTCACCATTGGCATGAAAGTACATAGTTAGTCCGGAAGTAATACTTAGGTAACACTAATTGTCGTCGAAGCTCCCTGCTTCGAATTTTGAAATGAAATAAAGATATCGGGATAATGTTTCTCCATCACCGAGTGACCGTGCACAGTCACGTGATTGACTTCGAGGCTGAGCATTTCAGCAAAATTGGAAGCGCGTGCTGAGATGTTCGGCCATCAGACTGACAAGTTTCAGGGACATGCAGCCTCGTCGAAACTATCCAAACTACCCCATTGACACAATCCTCCGTGATAAATGGCACGACCAGACGTGGTTGGAGCAACAAACATAATGTTATGAAGCTCTTGAAGTTGTTCCCTCGTGAAACTACACGTATTCTTTCGGTCGAAGTTCGTCCGTTGCATGTTGCAGCCTAGAAGCTCAGAGAAAAGCCCCTCTCTCTCTCCGGCTCTGGTGCGGTGTATAAATACCTGGCTATCCCACGTCTCCCCTCATTTTTCTTTTCTCTTCTTCTTCTCTTCTTCCTCTCTGACACCGTCTGAGCTATATCAGGTGGTGGAGTAGTCTTCTATCAATCCAATTGGTCCTTCATCCATTCCACACGGTGCCTCAAGAGTCAACCTTGTCCTCGCACTTGTCCTTATTCTCCCACACACCATCTTACAAAGACAATGGCTACAGCATCCAGCACACCCGTCGACGTTGACGTCGGTGCCAATCAACAACCCAAGATCAAGTTCTTCACGAACCATGGGTGCGGTTGGTCCCAACGCGTTCATATCGTCCTGAAGGAGCTCGGACTGGAGTACGAGGAAGTCATCATCAACATGGATGAACCGAGGCCAGAATGGTTCTTGGAGTTGAACCCGGTGAGAATTTCTGCATCTGTCTTGGAGTCAATCATCGAGCTTGCTATCGGGTTGAAGAGTGATCCTTGGAATTTACAAATGGTCTTCTGTTTCTCCGCCGTGATTGTGTTGACCTCGACTTGATTGCTGCTCATACAGTCTTTTTCATTGCTCAACCAGAGTTCATCTTATTGCTGAAGTTTTTCTATGTGTTCCATTCATACGTTATCTGTTATACGTTGTGATGAATGTATTCCTTTTCTCCATATTTTCCTACTAGAAGCGAGCTAACTGACAGTGCCTCCAGCGTGGTCTCGTCCCTGTTCTCCAGTATACACCGCACCCCTCATCAGCCGACTCCTCCACTGATACAATCACACTCACCGAGTCGGCCCAAATCGTCTCCTTCTTTACGGACCTCTATCCATCTCATCTTCTGCCCACGGTTCCCGCCTTGCTCTCGGGTTCTTCTACCCAATCTGGCCTTGCGGAGAGAGTCAGGGCAGCACACCTCCGCTACAAAATGTCCTTTTTTGTCGACACCTACTTCACTAAAATTAACCCTCTGATGTTCAAAATGGTGGGTGCGGATGCTGGGGAGCCACAAGAACGGATCGTGGACGATATCAAGGCACTTTTGGAAAAAGAGATCGAGCCATTGTTTGCCGCTGGAGCCCAGAACGGGAGTGGCCCATATTTTGGAGGAAGTGAGAGGTTGACTGTCGTCGAGGTGCGTGCCCTGCTCGATCAATCAGTACCAATCTTGTTCTAACGTGAACCTCCTCATCAGGCCATGACAATCCCCTTCGTCCTTCGCCTGATTGACTTTTCCAACGATATTATATTTCCCGCTCGTCTCGCGAGGGAAATCTTGGACACCGACTCCGCGACGAGCAAGCTGCCGCGGTTCGCTAAGTGGGCAAACCTGGGCATGCAGCATCCAAGTGTCACGTATACATGGGACAAAGAGTACATGGTCCCGAGGATTGTGGAGCGACTGCCTATGGCGAAGAGAAAGTATGCGCCAGCAAGGGACTAGAATGAAGAGGAGGGCGAAGAGCAAAAGACGAGGTGAATGAAGTATGTACTAGAGCGGTCAAGAGACATATCATCGGAATGAGAATGAGGCAGAAAAGGCCCATCAAGCGAACGCGATGAACCTGTGGGGTGGAGATGGACTTTGTGGATAGATTGGATTATCGCCCTTGACCACCCAAGGGTGCTTGGCTTCTGACTTGATCCTCATCATTGATCAGTGTGTGATGCATCAATCGCATATTCTGAATTCCGGGCATCTTATCTTCGCAATGTCCTTGGGGCATCTCGTGTCGATACTGAGCAAATGGCGAGGACTTTAACCAGGGTCAGCTCAGCGCCCACAACGCCCAGCCAATTCGGAAGCTCGGTCTGTGGGAAACAAATGCAGATCCTCACACGTAAGGAGCTTGGGAGCTACTAATGGAGTTCTTGGTAAGTGGTTTGGTGTTTTTCTCTCGAGCCAATTGCGACGGCGTCTTCTTCCGACACCGATAACGGGTTGCGATAATGAGAGGAAAGAAGATCCACCTACCCCTCGCTTTGCCCCTCCTTTTCTTGGTTTCTGCTTCCGGATTTTCCTATATAAATCCCGGATCAATGAGGTGATTGCTATTCTCCCCCCAACAACCTTTTCAATCATTATCTCCCTCCCACGGCTTTCTGTGTCATATTGCAATACCTGCAAGTCCTATCCAAAGTCTCCTAGCTGGACACCAGATCTATCACACTTTTGAAGTATTCCGCTCCCCTCCGGCTCTTCCCTTTACTGCTCCTTGAACTCCGTGCTGACACCTCCAGGTCGACTCTTCCAGTCCATCACATTTCCAAGTAAATCTCACTTGAGAAAAGATGGAGATTGGCATGCTTTCGTCTCGCTCGGTCAAGAGCCATCATGGTCAAGGTACAACTTATTCACAGACATGAGGATGTCTGCGCATGAACCGGTGTTCGCGACTTTTCTGTCCCCCCCAGTAAGATCTTTCTGCCATCCAACCAGGTCCTTCCCCAGTGGATCTGGAGATGGCAGTTCACTTGCTGGGTCCAGAAAGTCGCGTTCTGAGATCATACGGTTTAACTTGATCTGGATAATACCAGCGAAAGGATTATGCGATCTCTCCCTCTTTTTCCCCAGACGCCGCTGAGAGCTCCCGCCTAACACGATGCAGGACTTATAAAATGTCTCCACCAATTGCCACCTTCAACGAGTTTGATGCCTACAATGGCACCAAAGAGCTGAAACAAGGCGCCGTCGGAACCACAAAGGTGGCCTTGAAGGCTGCTGGCGAACATAACAATCTTCTTGAACAATTCGGCGACAAATGGGATGCCTTCAAGTTTGCACCCATCCGCGAGTCCCAGGTCTCTCGCGCCATGACCCGACGCTACTTTGCCGATCTTGACCGCTATGCCGAGTCGGACGTGGTCATTGTCGGTGCAGGCTCTTGCGGGCTTTCTACCGCTTACACGCTGGCCAAGGCAAGACCAGACCTCAAGATTGCTATCATCGAGGCCTCTGTCAGCCCTGGAGGTGGCTGCTGGCTGGGTGGTCAGCTCTTCTCGGCCATGGTTCTTCGCAAACCCGCCGAAGCCTTTTTGAACGACATCGGCGTGCCGTATGAGGACGAGGGCAACTATGTGGTTGTCAAGCACGCGGCCCTCTTTATGTCGACGCTGATGAGCAAGGTTTTGGCCATGCCCAATGTCAAGCTGTTCAATGCTACCTGTGTTGAAGACCTGGTCACCCGTCCATCCGCTGATGGAGGTGTCAGAGTGGTTGGCGTCGTCACCAACTGGACTTTGGTCACCTTGCACCACGATAACCACAGCTGCATGGATCCCAAGTGAGTTGTCACAAGACTTAGTTGATTGTTTTGGCTGTGCTGATGAGAGTCTAGCACTATCAATGCCCCTCTCGTTATCAGTACCACTGGCCACGATGGGCCATTCGGCGCCTTCTGTGCCAAACGTCTGGTCAGCATGAACGCCATTGAGAAGCTGGGCGGCATGCGCGCCCTCGACATGAACCGTGCCGAAGACGCCATTGTCAAGGGCACGCGTGAGGTGTCGCCAGGTTTGATCATGGGCGGAATGGAATTGAGTGAACTGGACGGAGCCAACCGCATGGGACCTACCTTTGGGGCCATGGTCCTGAGCGGCGTCAAGGCTGCCGAGGAGGCTCTGAAGATTTTTGAGACGAGAAAAGCCGAGTGTGCCGAGTAAAGGAGAAGCAAACGTCGGTGCAGCACAAATGGCAGAGAAGAACAAGAGGCGCAGAAACACAAGCCTCCCGTCGCTCATTCAGATAAATATCCCAGAATGCCATCCATGGGTCTATATCGCCTCATATCGTTCTATATTGGTGACATCTGTTGTTTCGATAATATCATTGGATGACAATCCTCGGCAAGGCAACAAATCCGCCAGTTGTTCGCTTGAGTTTCCCCCGTCGAGGCTGCGACCGACATCCGACGATCCCAGATGCTTGTTTTGTCAGCATCTCGACTTGTCATATTATGGCTGGCTGGTTGGGCTTGACAGACAATTGCGTAAACATAATACCGAGTACATTCCATCATTTCCCTTCTTTCGTTGTCATTTCGCTTTGTCGTAAATACATCTCTCATGTCGCTACGCTGAACATCACCCTCCATTTGAGCTCGAGGAGCCCTATAGAACCCCCAATGACGGATGACAATGTCGGTTCCGAGAGGACGCCTCTCTTATCCTCTTCCTCCAATGCCGCCGTCACTTCGATAGAAAGTCACCCAGAGGAACAGCGAGATTCCGTGCCCGTCGCTCGCAGACCTGCCGACGGCCTCTCTACTCTGCGCGGCTTTCTCATCTGCGTCTCCGTCTGGGTCCTCATCTTCATCCTGACCAACAATGTCTCGCTCATCACCACGATCCAATCCCCGATTGCGACGGACCTTAAAGTCTCCAGCGAAGTCAGCTGGTTCACGTCGGCGTACCTCATCGCCATCACGAGCATCACGCCGGTCGCGGGCCGACTCTGCGCCATCTTCACCCCCCGACTCTACCTGCTGGCCTCGGTCATTGTCCAGACTGCCGGTCTGCTACTCACCTCCCGGGCCAAGTCGCTGGCCATGTTTCTCGCCGGTCGAGTCGTGACGGGCATCGGAAGTGCCTCCATCACCCCTGTGGCTTTCATCCTGGTCACCGAGCTGACCAGCGCCCGCCGACGGGGTCTCTTCTTCGGCTGCATCAATACCGGCTACACGACCGGCGTGGCCTGCGGAGCTATCATCGCCGGCGCGCTCGAGCCGCTGGTCGGCTGGCGCGCCGTCTTCTGGCTGCAGATCCCCTTTGCCCTGTCCGCGGTGACGGTGGCGTTCTTCGCCATCCCCAAGCCCAAGACGGCCGCGACTACGGGACCGTCTTCGGAGACGTTGGCCAAGAAACTGTCGCAGATCGACTACTTGGGCGTGCTCACCATCATCGCCGCCGTCGTGCTTCTCCTCTACAGTCTCTCGTCGCCACAGGTCCAGATCACCCCGATCGTCCTCTCGCTCGCGTCCTTCGTCCTCTTCCTCCTCGTCGAGGCCACCTGGGCCAGCCAACCCATCGTGCCTGTGTCCGTGCTGAAATCCCGGGGGAACATCCTCACGGGCATCGCGACCGTCGGGGTCATGACGGCGCGGTGGGGGGTGCTGTTCTACACGCCGACGTACGTGCTCACGCTACGCGGCTGGCCGCAGACCAAAGCCGGATTGACACTGATCCCGACGAACCTGGGCTTCGGCCTCGGCGGCCTGCTGGCCGGATGGCTGCACATCCGACGGACGGGGTCGTTCTACATCGCGTGCCTCGTGACGTTCGTGCTGTTCGCGCTGTCCATGTTCACCGTGTCGTGGATCTCGACCCCGACGTCCAACATCTACCTGTACCTGGGCGTGCTATTCCTGAACGGGCTGATCGTCGGCGCACTGCTCAACTACTCGCTCGCGCACGTCCTGCACCTGACGCACCCGGCGACGCACGTCATCGTGATCCCCCTCAACGCCATGTTCCGCAGCCTGTCCGGCTCGTTCGGCTCCTCCGTCACGGGCGGCCTGTTCCTGCGCACGCTGCAGCGCGCCCTGACGCGCGGGTTCGAGGACCGCGGCCTCCCCGTCACGCCCGACAAGGCCACCCTGATCCGCCAGCTCGTGGGCACGCCGATCCTCGTCCAGCGCCTGACCGGCGTGGACAGGGACGTCGCCCTCTCCGGCTACGAACAGGCCCTCAGCACAATCTACATGGTCGGCGGCGTCTGGACTATCGGCATGTTACTCGTGCAGGCCGGCACCGGGTGGACGAGCCCCGAAGCCGTCAAGGACGAAGAAGGCGCCCACCACAGCGACGAAGAGAGCATGCAAAATGGTCTGTCGCCGGCCCTTTCGAGGGAGGCGGTCACCAGTTAGCATGGCACACATGGACAGAAGTTTGGGGCTGGGTGTAGCGCGTGCAGTGCAGCGCGTGCATGTTGTACAATGCGGGGTGTATTTTGATATTATCTATCGTGGCATTTGCTACACTCATACATAGACTCTGCGGGGTTGGACTGGACTGAACCTCACACTTGGACACATGACACCATAGCAACTTCGGGGATGGGGTGGGCGGACAACCTTTCTGTCTTTCCAAACATCAGGAGTTGGGCTCCATAGAATAGAAGAATATATATCTGCCAGATCCTTTGTGTTTTGTCATCCCACCTGTCCCACCCAATGTGGTCAATCATTACCTAGTATCTGATCGTCCGTCCGTCGGTCCTTCGTAGGTGAGTATGTGTGTATGTCGAGTGCTTTTTCTTCTCTCTATCTCTCTTTTAATTCAACTTCCGCCAGGCTGCTTGTCATCCTTCAAGTCCGTGGGATGCGGATCAGCCGTGCCTAGGCCCTTGTGACCACCCAATCCCGTGTGTTCGCCTGTTGTCCGGGGCCCGTTTCCCCCTTTTCCACTCTGATGTCCGGGAGCGGCTCCGCCGCTGAGGGTGCGGTCGTTCATCTCGTCCATGCCTTCTGGGAGAGGGGCGGCTTTCTTCGGGCCAGAGAGTTCGGCTTCGGCTGTGGACTGTACAGGACAGGAGAGATTGGATGTCAGTAATATGTTATATTGTGATTGGGGTGTGGTGGATTGAAGAGACGGTGACTCGGGGGGAGGAGGTATTGGGTGATCCTACCTTTGAACCTCCGTGGATGATGTCGTGTCCAGCCTCGACAGGGTTGTCTGACTGAGGCTTTCCGTCGTCAAATTCTGCTCCTCGAGGCATTTTGAAGTGTCTGAGGTGAGGTGTTATGAGTTGTGAATGGTAATTGCTCGATCTTTTGTCTTCAAACTTTGGTTTTGTTCACAGTGAGCTGGATACAGAGTTCTCAGGAGCAGATCTCGTGCCCTCATCGGGTCTATATTTCCCTTGAGCCTCAGCATCACCAATACCTTTCGAAACACTATTGGGTACGGAGAATCCGTCCGAAAGCTGATAACGTCACTGTGAAGTCACATCTGCAAGGCACACGACGTAGCCTGGTCGATCACTTACCATGGCTGGACAGCTTCTCAGCCACAGAGCCATGGATGGCACTGAGTGGGATGGTCTGGAAGCTCCTGGATTTTCTTTTCCGTCTCTCGCTCTGTGCGCTCAGCAAGACGACAAAGTCGGAGCAGACCTACCTGGCTGGAGAAGAAGAACATTGGTAGCCGAGAGATGAATAGTTGACCGGGGAATTCCGGATAAAGCACTTTACCTTCAGAAGGGCCTGTAATTCCCCCTCAGCGGAAACCCGGCGGGAAACTCCCCCCGCTACTGATGATTTCTTCCCCAATAGCACAGAAACATGCGGGATTGAATTAACTGCGTTCCTGCTTTGTTTCTACCGGGCCTCGCCAGAATTTAGGCCGAATTTGATGGACATCTGGTGGGAAAGGAAAAGGTCAAGGTGACATTCCTGCTCCATGCTTGTGCCCCCGGACTCGGATTCGGCTTCGCCTGCGCAACCTGACACGTGGCTTTCGTGGAATGTTTCGAGACGAGAAATCGATCAAGAAAAGACCCTCAGGCCGCTGTTTCATCGTCTCCGTGTTTCCTTCTGCTTACATTGAGTTTCGTGGTTTGAGAGACTGATAACTCGCAGCTTCCTCGATATTGACATGAACGCCAGAAGTGAGAATAAACGCAGGCAGAATCTTCCGACAGGGAGTCAAACGGCGACAGGGGAAAGCGAAACACAGTTTTCCTTGCCTATCTACCCTAACATTCCTCTACAGAACAGAATATAATTTCTAAACGTGTCTCTCAGAAGGATCTCTCCGATCCAATCCTCCCCGCTACAGTCCACCATGTCCGAAGTCACTTCCTCCCCCGAGTCGTCGCGTCTGCTGCGCGTCACCCTCGAGGGCGCCATCATGAGCGCCGTGTCCAACACCCTCGCTCAGATCCTAAGAGCCTATCGTGGTAGCGGCGGGCCGTACATCGATCCAGTCGCGCTCGTGCACTTTATCATTATCGCCGTCGTCACCACACCGCCGAACTACAAGTGGCAGTTAGCTCTGGAGAGGAATTTTCCCACGAATCCTGCAAGGGGCGACGAGGTCATGGACACGAGGGAGAAAAAGAAAGAGAAGAATGATAGCGCACCGAGCAAGAAGGAAAAGGAGCCTCTTTCCGTTACCAACACAATTGCCAAGTTTGTTCTGGATCAGACGATTGGGGCGTCGTTGAACACCATCTGGTTCATCATCATGATCAACTTGCTGCGGGGCGAGGGTCTGAGCTACATAATAGCCACCATTCAGAAGGTGAGTCTAAAATCCTCGGCGGTGTTGTTCCTCTTAGTGCAACAGGAATGAATGTCTGACCGGGTTGTTTCAGGACTTTTTCCCAATGCTCATCGCAGGCTACAAGTTCTGGCCCGTCGTCACACTCCTCAATCTCGTCGTGGTTCCTGTGGAACACAGGATGTTCGTCGGGGGTTTGGCAGGTTTGGCATGGGGTGTTTATGTTAGTCTCATGAACATCTGACGTCGATTCACGGGAAAACACTACTACTATGGGGGAAGTGTGTGTCGTGAATGGAAAGTAGCACACACCCGGCAATCCTGAATGAGTTTATGATCGACGAGTACCTAGTAATGCCTCGGGATGGATGGTTATGGTTGAGACGTTCGATTGGTACACGTTTGACAGAAACGTGTTGATTAAGGGCACATCCACAGGACCGTCCTGATGTTTATGTCCCAAGCACTCCCTTCCACTCCCCTCAGAGGGCATTTTCATTGGTATTTCCATGTCTTTGGTACGTATCGTGTCATGGGTCGTGGCATGCCGTGACATGTCATGCATGGCGCAGCGTAGGGCACAGACTCAAAGCGGAGATAGATGTATACAGAAAAAGACACAGATAGACGGATAGGTGGATATATGAATATACTTGTATTTATAGGATGTGAGAGTACAGAGACAGACAAGACTCAAGACTGTAAAGGCGGTATGTAACAGGCACGGTCCTCAGCCTCAGTCTGCAGCCTCGGGCGATCTCCACGCTGTACGGACGACAGACCAGGCTCTTCAAAATCCCCCTTCGCTCTCTTTTTGTTCGGCTCGGATCCCTCCATTTCTTTCCTATACCTGCCTTCCCCTGCCTCCTCCTGGACACCCACCCGCTCCGTGTCCGTCCGGGGCAGAGACCTCGGGGTGAGTTACAACTTGGAGGCCGTCCAAACAGGCTTCCTCTTCTCGCGGAACGCGGCCAACCCCTCTTTGGAGTTGGGACTCTCGTGCAGACCTCTCTTGAGTCGTTCGTCGACGAGCTGGAACCCGCGCTCGACGGAGCCGGTCTCCCAGGTCTCGCGGAGCGCGGTGCGGGTGACGATGATGGCGTCGGGCGAGATGTCTGCGATCTTCTGGGCGAGCTCGATGGCCTCGGGCACGCACGACTCGTGCGTCGCCGACACGCGGTTGACGACGTTGTACTGCACCGCTTCGGTGGCCGAGAGGACGCGGCCCGTCATCGACACCTCGGACGCGATGGGGAGGCCCGCGTTGCGCACCAGCCGGGGCAGGCCGCCCGCGCCGGCGTAGATGCCGCGCAGCGTCTCGGGGAGGCCAAAGGTGGCTTTGGGGGAGGCGACGATCAGGTCGCTTTTGGCAGTGAATCAGTATATGCATCTCTTGTGGTATGTGTGGGGGACAATGGGGTTTAGCTAGCCATGCTGATGGCAAAGAAAGGGACAAGATGGGACAAGTTAGGATGGCAGACGATAGATCATGCGTCTGTCCCCCTGTCTCCATGTTCCTTGGGTCCCTCGATCTTGGATCTTCAAGATATACGTGACAAAGGACCAAGAGGTCGGAAGTGGAACAGCACAGAAAACTCCGAGTGAGGATACTCGACAGGTGTAGCACCACCCAAAACAATCCAAACCATCCACCCATCCATGCAACCCAATCTCCGATCCACCACAAAAGCCAGAAACAGAACCCCCATTGACATCGGAAAAGAAAAGAAAATAGAAAGCATAACTCACCAATTGAGAACAATCTCAAACCCTCCACCCAAAGCATACCCATTAACCGCCGCGACGATGGGCTTCTTGCCCGTCCGACGACTGATGCCCGCAAACCCCGACGGCGGGTGCATAGCCAGGTACGGCTTCTCCTCGAGTTCCTTGGGATCGCGCTTCCCAAGCTCGATCAGGTCCTGACCGGCGCAGAAGGCCTTGGGCCCGGCACCCGTGATGATGGCCACGCGCAGGGTCGGCTCGCGGTCGAACCACTCAAAGACGCGGTGCATGTGCCAGTGCACGTGGAAGGGGATCGAGTTCATCTGCCGCACGCGGTTGATGGTCACGAGAAGGATGTTGGGCGTCGGGAACGAGAGGAGGACCGACTCGTTGGGCGGGGGAAGGGGGATCTCGGTTTTGGCCGTGGTGGGATACATTTTTACTCAGAGTCGCTTTTGCTTTTGGGTGTTGAGTCCTTGGGTAGAGAAAGAGCTGGGTTTCGGGGTCTCTTTGTACTTTCTTCGCCGTGCGGGAGAGCTGGTAGGAGTATGAGCGTGAGATGATCCCGGATGGGTTCCTGGTGGTGATGATCTCGAGGGGATAAGAAGAATCTGAGCTGGAAACTTGCTTACTTACTCGGCTGGTTTTACACTGACTCCCAAAAGAAAGAGAGGTTGTTTTTCTCGTTGAATCCAGGAAAAAAATAATAGTCATCACAAGGAGAGACTTCAACTCATCAGTCCCGTCGGCTCAGGTCCAGACTAAGATAACTCGGCGAGTGGATAAATTAGCCAGGAACCTCGGTTTCCCCCACACCCAACACACGCAAACAAGGCCACCAGAGGCTTTTTGCCAACCCAGCCTTTCCGAGGCATTCTTCATCCGAACTTCCCTCGCTATCGGGCTTGACCAATCACAATCACGGATAGCAATCTCCATCTTGGGGTACGGGGAGGATCTTGCGAAACTATCGCAGGTACTCGTACAGAATGCTTTAGAATGCCGTTTTGAGTAGTGCATGAAGTGTCTGGCTATAGAGTCATGACTCCGCCGGGTTCCTCCCTCAGACTCAGAATATGGAGCCCCCAACGGACGGATTGCCCGTGAGATATGTAGATGCTGTAGCTCGCAACTATTCGTATCCAAATGGAATGCTGTCCATCGCGCCACTTCTCTGCACACACTTCGCCGCAGCCTCGTTCGCCCTCGTGACGGCCTCACGAACGTTGAGATCATCCAGTTGAATGGCTTGCGCGAGATGCCGCGCAACCGCCGTGGCAAAGTATCCCACAAACGTGTCGCCGGCTCCCGTCGTGTCGACGACTCGGTCGACTTTCAAGGCCGGTAGCAGATCTCGGTCAAGTAAGTCGGGCGCCTCGAATGAATAGTACACCCCCTGCGACCCGAGCGTTACCACCACGATGGGTATTTTCGCCGTGCCGTGGAGGTAGCTCGTCAGTCGGTCGAGCTCCCCCTCGGTCATGAGCTCGTCCGGTCCGGAAACTCGAACGGTCTTCAGCTCCTCCACCGACGCAAAGAGCTGCCGGCACTCTGTCTCATTGACCACCAGCACAGCTAGGCCCTTGAGTGCATCCAGCGGCACTCCCGCCGGGAACATGGGCGCAGGGTTGAAAATGACACATGTCTTGCATTCCGTCGAGTTGAACCTCTCCAAGAGTCCCAGCACGGTTGAGCGAGGAACTTCACCCTGCATAACCACCACGTCCGGGTCGCCACCCTTTGTCGCCGTCTTGAAGACCTTATCCACGTCACGTACCTGCGCGTTGGCTCCTGGAACCACTAGGATCCTGTTTTCGCCGTTGGAGCCCTCGTCGACAATGATGGTCGCCGTCCCCGTCTGAACCCCTTCCATCTCCTCGACGCCAGCCGTGCTCACACCGCTCTTCTCCAACGTAGGTCTCAGGAGCGAGGCGTAGTAGGGATCATTAGCACCGACTGCGCCAATCATTTCGACCACGACATCTTGCGAGGACGGCGAAATGAATGCTGCTTTCCCACATGCGACCGCTTGATTTGACCCTTTGCCGCCCGGGTGGACTGTCATGGACGTCGCAGTCAGTGTTTCCCCAGGTCCTGGGACACGTGGAGTGCGTGTGACGAAGTCGATGTTCAAAGAGCCGATGACTCGTATCACCGGTCGCCGTGACATGTTGGTGCTCCTCTGAGTGTCGTAGTGTCACGGGCTCCGAATGATGGCAAGCAATCAAAGACCCTCGCTCGGGTTTTGGATCTCAGCGTCAGACTGCAGGAGAATTATTTGCTCGACGGAACGAAGTGCAACGGTGTAGGTATCAAAGAAGCCAAAACCCTTCTGCGAACGCGGCTTGTGACTTGATTCCTTTTGCCCATGAGAAGATTGAGACAACCTATAGCTAAGGGGAAAGGAAGGACAGCCAACTAGGTGATTTTCCTGCCTTTTTTCAACTCTGGACACTTGGCTTTTCTCGTGTCACCAACGGTCTTGGGACCGGCCGGTGCAGTGTCTCAAAGGAGTGAATATCCAAGGAGTTGAGTTCAGGCTTTTGGCTTACAAAGCTTTTGAACGAGGATCTGCTGTGAGTAAAGGAAAAAGGAGAAACAAGATGGCACGATAGCATCTACAGTGCTTCAGTACGTAGGTACGTACCAATGTGTGTAAGTAACGGGGAAACCAGACAGTCTCAGTCTGACAGCCTGACAAGGCCATCTTTCCCTCCTCTTCTACGGTAAAGACAAAATATGAACTCTGTCAGACGAGATTCTTTTTCCTTGTTTCCTTGTCTCAACTTGAGCCAATCGGCATGACGTGGAACATTCGCTCCTGATTGGCGGAAGCACGGCTGAAGATCGGTGTGTGCAAGTCACTCACTCGCAAAGTAAACTTGACCCTGTTGCCGGTTCGTGTCTGGTCTTTTCTTCTTTTATAATTTGTTTCCAAGTCGAAAGGACAGCGGCATTATGGACACCTGTACGAAACGACCTTGGAGAGCAAGATCGAGAGCCTTGAGCACACATTTAAATGTCCCCCAGCTGCTTGGACCGCCACACACAGAGTCATGATGTCAACACTTTGGTCCAATGGCTTTATGATATCCCGCATGTCGAATGACACGTCGCATCTTCCCTGACCTGATCCCTCTGAGGAGTTTGTCTAACAGTCTAGGTGGTCTTGTTCTCTAGCAAATAATGTCTCCATACATCGAGTCTTCTAGGACAACCATGCATCGAATTTCCATCCCAGAGGCTCCGATCACAGAAAATTACAAGGCGCATGCACCACCGGTTGGGTGTCAGCTGGAGAACTCTGGCGTGGTTCGGGTCACGTACGCTCCCACATCTGACGCACCACAGGGTACGGTAAAGGATGGTTGGGCAGAGAAACACCAGCATCAGACCGTAAGTCGTCTCCGTTCACCCACCTCGAGAAGACTTTGCTGAATGTCGGCTCAAACAGGTGCTGGAGCAACATTGTTCCTTCTTCGATCCTGATGGCGACGGAATCATTTGGCCCAGCGACAC